AGCGTCGGACGCTTACTGTCGGGTGAGCACGGTTCTCGGGCGAAGAAACGGCACATTCTGTGCCGGGCTCGATGGTGTTTCTTTCCTCGCAGTAAGCAGCCTGCTGTCATTGATTGCTCGAGCGACGAGGACGAGGACGACGACTACTGGCTCCACCGCCGTCATCGAATCGATAAGAAATGTGACAGTGATGCGACTTGTCGCAGTGAATCGTAAAACGATCGTGTTATGACCGAATCAGCCAAGAATGAGGAATTCTTCCCGCCAGCCAATAGAACAAAATCGAATCCTAATCGACAGCCGATCACCGCAACGTTAATTAAGCGATATCGCCAGGCTGTGGTGGACCTAGCGATCAGCCGAGGGACCACTCAGCCTTGTTGTTTGCGTGTGTCGAAACGCCAAGAAACCAGCTCGGTTTCGGCGCATCTCGCCTTCACACTTCTTTCAACTGCGACTGGCCAGCCAGATTCATCTAAGCCCTCAATTCGTCCTTGTTCCTCACTTCACGATTAACTATAAATGTAAATCAGTAGGGCACGAACAAGAAAATAAGTGACTGCGTAAGCCACCCACAGGCACTGGAACTGCTCTGTGATAGAGACCAACTTCTTGACATACTCCGTACAAGAAAGTTCTTCTCCCGACTTCACGCTGGTAGTGTCATTTTTAAGGAATTTTTCGTTTCTCTGCCATTGCGATCTGTGCTAATTCGTTTGGTTCTAATTATGTGCGTTTCTTCAGCAGAAGAACGAAAAGATGTCTTCATTCAACGATCGTGATTTCTGCGCCAGCGTCACAAGGGTTTCTCGTACCAGGCACGCCTCTCGGTCGCATCCTACGAAACGCTGATCAGGTTAACCAACTTGACTAGAAGTTTTCTAATATAAACTTTTTATCATGTTTTGTTTCTTTAATACCAAGTCGCAAATGTAAGCAGATTTTGCGTTGAACCCCCTAGTCTTGTGGCAGTCACTGAAGTGATTGTCTGTTTATTGCAACTGGCGGAACGACTTAAAGACACACACACAGATTACTAAGCCGTTAATGGCAGCTGCTGATGATCACTGAATCACTGACACATCCGTAAAGCCAACTGCTTACTTATGCGTTCACGCACCTTAAAAGTAAATCAGGCACCTTGTACCACTGATCGTGCTGAGAGCCATCCAGTGTCAGGGAATTTGTGCCTTCTTGTTGGCTAAGGGATTCGTCAACACATCTCTATCGAATTTTATCACCGACCTTCTGCGTCTGTACTGAGCGAGCACATTTACAATATCCGCAATAATTCATTGTCTCTAGGGATCCACTGAAGTACACAAGCAATTTTCTGGCTCCGCGTTGCTCGTAAGATCTTGTCACATGCCAATTTCACCGTCGCTTCAGTCTATTGCTTTCTCAAGTCAAGTTATGACCTCAAAACTGTTTCATGCTCTTTCTTGCGAACAATTCCATCGACTAAGAAGGTGCACTGCATGCACGCTCCAACTTAATATACTGAACGAGTTGCATGCCCTCCATGACGCACCATAAGGATGGACCGTGCGATTCATTGCATACGGTGGTTTGAGACGTTTACGTGTCTTGCCTACTTCCTCGATCACATTTCCATATGCAACCGCCAGGAGGTACCGACGATACGCGGTCGTTGAAGGCATCTGTTAACGAATAGAGGCAGTCGGTTCTTTAAGCTGAGACAAGTTTTTGACCAAGTCAGTTTTTAACTAATTTTGCAAACTAGGTTTCTTTATTTGACGCACAGGGGACGAACCATAGCATTCAAAATGTTACCTTAAATCTGCAAACGACTTGCAATAAGGCATATAAGAAAATTGAATGGCAGAAATTGAAAAGGAAGAATATGCGAAGCAGTGATAAGGCATGAGGCATGCAATTGGGTTATAAGAATAATTGGAAGTGTGCGGTGAAACAACACAAGTGCTTGTATGGGTACAGGTACATCGAAGGTCAGTACTGAGCCAATTTCAGTTTTAGATGGTGACAGATGCACTAGCCGTTGATCTGCAAGATGCGACAGGTATAGTTTGCTTTACGAGGGCAAGAAACATAAATGCTGAGCAAGAGAAAGTCCAAGTTTGGGTGGACATTTGTACACAGAGTTGGATTTTTAGCAATAAGGGAAAGATATAACTCTTTACTCATTTGAACAATGGATTTCGCAGCCTATTGTAACGCTTTCATTTCTAATAACTGTTTTGCGGTTATTTTTGTTTCGTTGGGACACAGCATCACGTTGTTTAAAATTTTTCTCTCAGGTCCCTTCTTTCTTACATGTAGCATATGTCAGTTCACTACAAGTATACCCATATGGCCTGTAAAGCGCCAATGGCTCAGGTAATCTTCGTAACTATTCCGTGTTTACTTGTGTGTCCTTCAAGTTGAGCATAATGGATTTTTATTAAATAGCTGCCGAAGAGCTTCACGGATACTGATTAGACTTTCCGGGAAATTCGGACAGTCCGAATTGTTTTCAGCTCCGGTTCGGTACAACAACGAATATTGCACTCATTTATGTGTTAATGCGATCGACTGATCTACTCATGATACCGTGATACCGTTCATCGACGAGAAGAATACTGGTGCTACAATGTGATGGTGTCGAACAATTTTCAGTAGTGCATGAGGCAGTAGCCTGACGTTTCGCTACCAGAATCACTATGATCTAGCAGAGCGAATGCTAGCACACGGTTTAAAATCCTGCAGAAATATCTAACTTTGCCGAATTCCATTAATTCTTGAGCTTGCGTCCCCGTTTTTCTAGAAACGTTAGCAAATATATTTATTTTAACAGATATAAAATGAGGCTCTTAAATGACTGGGAACAAACATATTTGGAGTTCACAGAGGTGTTTCTTGTTCAACACAAATTAATTACATATGGAGATGATATCGCAACCACGGAATGATCAGGAACTAATAACTCTAAATCACTGAAACGAAGAAATGTAGCATAAGCTATGAAAACATGCGAAAAAAAATGATAGGCAGGAAATGGAAAAGGGTGAAAAGTGGCGACGACACGAGATGCAGAAAAGCTACGAAAAAATGCGCAATGTTTTCTGAAGGAGATAGTTGGGCTCTTCAAAGATGCATAGCTGTTTTCACAGTTCTACTAGATTTGGCCATTGGATGGAACCACAGCAAACGCTCGACCATATGGCGTCATCAAACTGCATAAGCTGTCCCAATCGTTAAGGCTTAGCATTCCTCTTTTTGCGGCACGCCGCTTTCTATTTCACGCCAACACATCGATCTCATTTTGAAACCTTCATTTTGCCCGTGCACTTATCGGGTAGTGAAGGGTGAAGACTTGATCATCAAACATAAACGTTTTAATCCTTACCCTATGGCTCTTTCAAAATGATTACATTCGACGATAGAAGCGTTTGAAACAATATCTTGAAGGATCTCAAGATCATAATTTCAAACATTTGTTTGGAATAGGAAAAAATCAACTATCGCCATTATTATGGAATTGCCGTGGAATCTCCTATTAGCATTATTGTTGCGGAAATTTTATGAATGACTTTCATCCATTGCTTGAGATCTCTACCTTCTTAATGTAAATCCTTCTTTCTGTTGCATGTACATTGGCAATATCTTTGTAATTCTGAAAGCAGGAAAAGCCCCCAAAAGGCATCTGCACTTAAAAATGTTCTTAACGGTTTTGAAAACCGTTTGATAAACCTCTTTCATTTATTCATTTATTTTTTTGTCTCTTTTCGTTTATCTCTATCTCTTTATCTCTTAGCCTTTTTAATTTTGTTTGAAATCTAGTTAAATTAAAATCGAATGCAAAATAATTCCTGTACTGAAACCGCTCAACCTTTTCGCCTTTTCTTCGCAGTTTCTCCCCCTACTTAAGCAGAGTTGAAATTTGCAATGTTGCCTTGAGACATTATCTTGGTGCTGAAAATTTAAACCTCCATTTTGCATGTGCAAAAGCTCATCCAATGTAGCAAGACTACGAGATTCTCGTTTCTAACTCTGAGGCTACGTCGCTTTGATATTGCCCCAAAATTAATAAGGAGCTTTGTTGGTGCCAGAGTTCTTTCACTGCTCTGCTAATCCACTCTGGCGCTCCTCTTTCGTTTTCAAAGTAAGGTTTCAAAGTGATTAGAACTGTCTCAAAGCTCCTTGATACTCGTAGCAGCATTCCTTTAAGGGCAAACATGGCAAATTTCTGAGTAGATGCGTCATCAGCGTTTCTCCAATTATGGTAACTTTGTGTCGTCTAATTCCGGGCAACCCTTTCACGACCCTTGGATGCGTTCGACCTTCTGCAACAAGCCCAATTCATTCTCTCGCATAGAGGTCTACAAAGCGTCATTCGTCTTTGCTTTTCTAAGTGTGTTTCAGCACGTTGAGGAAACAAGAGCTTCGTGCATAACTAACCTTAGCACGGATGCCGGTCACGTCGAAGCGGTAATTTCTGCTGTGCAGCACGATTTCATTT